CTTTCTCTCCTACCTCGGCCGACCGACCAGTCGATCCGCGCGCGCGGCTGTCCTGTTAAGAGAGAAGGGTGGAGGGTGACGGTGGAGTGGTATCGTGGCGCGGGTGATATTAGCAAAGAGGATTGACAAGGGGAAAACGACGAACTATCGGCGGCAGCAGGAAACGGAAGAAGGCGGGAAATGGATGAACTATCATGCACGACGTCGACGACGTAACCCTTCGTTTGTTAGGGTTCGCCGTTGTTCAGTGTCGTCGCGCGACGTCGCCATCATCGTCGACGTAGTAGCGCCTCGCCCGATCGCGAGGCAAGGAACCCGCTTGGAGGCTGATTGCTCGGTGGTGCGCGTACCTATGTGTCTATCCGCGAGTCCGTGAAGGATTCGTGTGCTGGGTTGTTACGCGGTTTCGGCTGAGAGGCATTGGTGCGCGCTGGGAGCATGCGGGTTTCGGGCGAGGCCCGGCGAGGCGGCTCCGCGGGAGGACCGGGCTAAAGGAACGATCGCATATCGAAAGGGACACTCGCAAACGCGGGCACGGTGCGTCCGCGGCCGTGCCCGCACCCGCACCCCCGCATCACGGCGTCGCGCCGGTCACGCGCCGATTAGGCTGATCCTGAAGACGCGGAAAGCGAGCTGGGCTCGCTTTCGGGCGCATGGAACATGATAGAGGTAAGCTAAGACGAAGTGTGCGAACGTATTCACACTACGTCCGCCTTAAGAAAGGATTAAAGGCTCAGCACGGAACAGTAATGGAGTCGCGCTGATTTTCCCCCCGAGGAGTATTTAACTACAGCAGCCGACGTAGCGGGACGCATTGATTCTCGTGTGGATGTATACGTGGCGGATACCACACATTGATTCTACGAAAACGGAAAATTTGAAACTACATGTAAAAATTCTCCTACCGTGTATTATTCCAAACATAATTAATACTCTCTCGGAGTTTACAATTTTCGGAGTTTACAAAGCCTTTCCTGATTTAGTAACATGCAAATAAACAATGCGGCTGGATTGAATATTGAAAACCGATTGCATTCGATCGTGCTTAAATTGTATAGAATTGGATTATTACAAATTAATCCTAAAATAGCATAGTCTAATAGCAATGAACAAGGATCGCTGGTTAGAATTTCACTTGAAATATCGGCAGCTACCGTTCATTCAATGTTCACATAGGGACATAACAAATTTCATTTATATGGATATACGCTTGTCTCGATCGAAATAAATTTACGGAATTATCGGACAAAGTTTGCGGGGAGAGAAACGGAGGGATTGCAACTTGCACGTGCTTCGCGATTGCGTGCTGCATGAAGCCAACTCACCATTGGGCCATTGACATGTTGACACACGGCTTATGCGTAAACACTATCATCGTTTTAGAACTGTTTTAAACGCGTGACAGTATTTGCATCTGAGGATTGCATACGATTCTCTATCATCAAACTAACATTCAAAATTATATCGGAGGATGTCAGTCATCTTTCTTGTACAAATATACATTTCTGTACAAGTGTCACTATATTAACGACTATCTAAGATGAACCAATAATAATTAACAAATAATTTATTTATTATTTATTATTATTCATTTAATGTTGATTCAAATTTTATATATTGATTATTTTTTTAATAAAATATAACTGCGCAACTTTAATTCTTTTTGTAATTTTATATATTTCTTTTACTTCGTTAACTATTTGTTTATTTTTTACAATTATTAGTCATTAAGTTTAATTTTTAATAAATATAAAATTATAAATTGATTAACAACACTATTTCTATGAAATTATATTATTTTAAATTTTATCAGAAGTAATCTGGTAATGTTTGCGGATATGTGTATCTCAGTAATATAAGCTTTGATTATTATATTCAAGCTATCTTGAAGCTAACTTATACAAAATTCAAAGCTCGCAATCAATCGCCTAGCACGAAGTATTTCCTAAATTTCGCAGTGTTCTCCGTAAGCAACGGCTTGTTTCCACAATGTCTGCCAAAACAAATCGCGCCTGGAGATTATTGAAATTTGCATCGTTATATTGTCTCGTAATCGAAGTCTTGTTTTCGGAGAGATGATCCCCGTGATATCCGCACGGACTAAAATTCGCCTCGTGTAAATCGCGTGATGTGTTTTTACGAAGCAGCCGCTCGAAGCGCGATTTTTGCGCGTGGTCTCTTCTATTTTCCGACCGCTCTAAATCGCCGTGCTTGCATAAATATACGCCTGATTTATATCGCACTATAAGCGATTAAACGACGATCCTCTTTTCAATCTCTCCCAATCCCAGTTGCCCAATTTCCTCTCCCGTCTGTTTTTCTCTTTCCCTATTTTTTTTTTTTTTTCCATCGTCTTTACGCGCGCAGCTTATTCGTATGCGCCACCACGTTTACTCGCGGATACACGTGTACACTTTACGTCAGTGCCCGCTGTTTATCAACCTCTGCCCACATCCCCTATAAGCTACTGTCCGATGTAGTCGTTATCGCGCGAGGTCGCACGGAGAGAGAGCGGGTCATCGATATACAATGCGGTATAAAAATAAAGGGTCGAACGCGGCTACGTGCATCTGTGCAGGCGTATAACCCAAACTTCATTCCGCGAATCTCGTTTGTGCTGCGAGAGAAAATGGGCAAGCCAGCGCTGAATATTTCCGCGAGGTTTAGATGCTGGAATAAATTCATGAGCTCGAGATTTCGTTCGTTTGTTTACGAGGTATTTTTCTTGCGTTTAAGGCGGATCGAGAGAAGACGCAGGAAGGATTCTAAATTATGCGAATTGCGTCGAGACTGATATTTAGCGATATTCTATTTTCGCTCGGATTTTGATCGTTAAAATGAAATATTATTTTTCTCATTGATATTTGATGTTATATTTTGTTTTTTTTTTTTTTTTTTTTTTTTTTTTTTTTTTATTGTAAGTTCGCAAAAGGGAGAAAGAGAAGATAGAAATATGTTCACATGGCAACAAACTTGATAATCGATTTGCTCTATAAAAACTAGAACATTACGAGTAAAAGTACATACGTCAAAATTTATTGAGATACGATTGGAAATGTACTGATTTCGAATTGAGATCGCGTTCTTAAATATGGCATTAAGGGTTTAATCCTCTCCTTAGACTTTCTCCGAGAATCCAATATCGGTCAGCTCAGCCGTCTGGCGATCATGAATTTTAAATACCGGAGACCTCGAACGGAACGGCGAACGGAAGAATAATAAATCTCCAGCTACATCTCTCACTTCGATATCGTCATCCGGGCTGCGCTGAAAATACAAGCCAATCGATACGTGCAGCTGAGCGTACGACAATCGTATCCGAACTAATTGGTTGCTTTTTGAAGGCTTATGTGTCAATTATCAACCAGCTTATTTTGACTAGAGCTTCACTTTATCGTATTGCCATATGCGAGTAGATTATTGTGTTCTCTTCCTAGAATTTGTTATTTATGAACTTATTTAAATGAGAATTTAACGATCATTGTTCTCGTTCTAAATACTTTATTAAAACTTATTTTTTATATATAACGAATCCGTTCCTTTTTCTGTTATTTTCAAGTCTTTTCAAGTCTTTTTTCAAGTTATTTTCATGATTTTTTTGTGATCACTGCTAGTATATTGATGCAAGATATAAAAAGAATATCTATTATTTTTATGAGTTAACGTAAGGATTAACGTAATTATAAAATATTTGTTATTTAACTTTGTACCAATATATGTTGTTGTGACTTACGTGTCGATATAAGAACACGCGTGTATGCGGGAAATTGCCCCGAATACTGGTTTCGCTTACTTAATTATCGTATAAAGACTTGGCTTTATTGTTTTTCGAAGACTCGGTTTCTATTACGCGTTGAGGTCTCGGTCTATATAAAATCTCGATTTACGGATCCATGCACTATTCGAGTCAGACTCGCTGTTCTCTCTACTCTTATTTAAGTAAAATCAACAGCTATAATTCGGCTAATCACGGCCCGAGGATAGCGCATTATCTTTATCGCGAGGATTTTCGAGTCGCAAAACGCGGAGTTTTATCTGGTAAAGGCGACGACATCAGGGAAGCTGCATTGTATGAGTTTTTTATGTTTGACGACTGATGTGACTCCGCTCGTCTTGTGAGGCGTCTATGGTCGCTACATATGTGCTAATTGCAAAGGGTATTTGCACCAAAGAACATTATCAGTTTATATTCGTGCGCACATTTTTAAAAAGATTCAATGTCAGCGCTATCTCGCGTAAATAAATCAAGAAATTGACAAGTGCTCCATTGTGTTCTGGAAGCCACTGATTTAATAGAACTATTCTTAGATTCGGGATAAACTTGTATGCACGTAGTGCGCGGATTCAGAAGGCGAATGTCGCTTGCAGATGTCGAGTGGACTTGGTGCAACCGCAATGGGGATCGGCGTTAGTCACGGCACAGGCGGCGAAGGTGTAGCTGGTGGTTGCCGCCTCCGTGCACAGAACCAAGGCCAGGCCTCAGGGTCTACGATGCAGCACAGTAATCCGCAACAATCGTCTCAGCAGCAGCAGCAACAGCAACAACAGCAACAGTCACAGCAGCAGCAGCAACAGGCGCCCACGTCGCAGCAGCAGTCGCAGCAACAGCAACGCCAGGCAGGATTCACGAGCCGATCGAAGAAAGACAACTGTTGCCTGTGCTGGTGTTGTTGCTGCAGTTGCTCGTGGTATTATCGATCCTGCCTGATCAATCTCTTACATTGATGCGGCTGATGTTGAAACAAATTTACTATGTTAAAAAAAGTTTATTTGGAAAAAATTTACTTGAAAAAAATTTACTTGGAAGTCAAGCAATGGCATTTTATTAGACGTTTTTTTTTATAATTTTATATTTTTAATTTTATATTTTTAATATTTTCTTTAAAGAATAGAAGACGAATCAAATTATTTACCAGTGATCTTGTCGATTTTTAAGTACGTCTTCTTTAATAATGACATATCATATCGATTTAATTCTCGAAGCAGACGCACCAATGTACGTACGAAATGTTTTTTTCTAAATAATGAATAATGATACGCGATTCATAATGACAATGGGCAAATTATTAATGAGCGCAAAGGGATCTCTTGCGCGAAAAGATTTCAATTTTTACCCTGTAATTACATATTACTAACAAAATAAAACAAAACATTAGCACAAAGAATTTTCATTATCAATAGTACAAAGTAGATGAGCACATATGACTTGTAACGTGTTATTATCGTTATCGCGCGGCTATTTTCGTGCTTACTTCATCTAGTGAACCTCTCACCATTGAAACGATATCGGTCCATTGTCTTTAAACTCTCACGTGTGATCCATTTATTGCCGTGCAGACGTACCTACATATTGCCTTTCTGTGTTTCATGCCACAAGTAGGAATAAATGGTAAGCAGGCCACGGACTGTGTGCGTTAATGCTGCTTGTGTGTTATGTCGATGATGATGCTATCGTAATGCACGTATTACGGCTCACAGAAACGGGGTTATGCACATACCACGCATCCTTCCTACGCGAGCCATCTTCGCAGATTATATGCGAATAGCCTACTCATTCTGAGCTGGCATCGACCCGAAAGAGTTTACCTAAAGTGCAATGGCGTTTCCTGAATCCTTACCACAGAAATATGCGTCTGTAAGGAAACTTGGTCGTTTCATTAGAAGAAATCTTTCTAAAAATACGTATTTTTATACGTAACTCTCTTCAATTTAGCGCCATTTAAGGTTTTCTACTTACTTCATGTTGCGCAATGTTATATTTTTCCTTTACTCTTGAAGACACCAACGCACTCGAGATATGACAGTCTAAAGCTTCATTTAAAAACAATTAATATTATAGTTATATAAAATTATAATTTTTAGTAATTGTCTATTTTTTATAATAATTCTAAATAAAAGATATTTTTGAAAGGAACAATTTTGTTGAAATAAAATTTCAATAAATGATAAAATATCTACAAAATTAGAGTGTTTTGTAATATTTTACACCAAATGAAATAGCACACGTGAGAAATATAAAATTGCCGAATATTATTTTTTTATTTAGTCACGTGGAAAATCGTTTAGAAATATAATTATAATTGCTTTAGAGGGCAGCCGAAACAATCATTTTTCTCAATCATCTGCTAAGTGACTAAGTCGCGTAAACCGTTCAGAGTCGCCATTTATTTCCGCAGTTATGGTTCGTAAACGCCATAGGACAACCGCGTCATCAAGCACAAAGAATCGGCCTTCCAATGACCCGATTCCTGTTCCTGTTATCGACACGATTAATATTTTTTCTCGGTTCGATGCTAGCCGTTCACATGTCTTTGTATCTCGCATTATTCGCAATCTCAATTAAATTAGCTATCCTGACAGTCGTTAGTCATCCATTATCATTTCCTACTGTATTCGTGTGCGTGTCTGCCGGATTATATTCCTCCCTTCACTGCTCATTTTATATCTCTTCATTTCCCGAGGTTACCAAGTTTAATATTCATTTCCTACACATCTTCTCTGCCCCTCGGCTGTCTGTCATTACTTTCACGTTCGCGTTTCTTCAGTCATCCTCATATTCGCCAACGACAATCACCAAGCATTATCGTCGTACGATCGTTGTAATTAACGCGATGGTTCACAGTCATTAATACAATTAATTTAATATAATAAATTTTAATTTGAATGATAAAACAAATTACACGTCAGAATTATAATATCAATACTTAAAAGTATAATTTTATTTACAACAATTGTACGACAAGAAGCACAACGAATTGCTATACTTAATTATTTTAATTATGCAATGATGATTAAAATTTAAATATTATATATAAAAAAACTATTCTTTTCCAACATGAAAATCTGATGATGAAAGCTGTTAGAAATAGTTAGAAATTTTTTTTGTCATGGTGACATTACTCTCCTATTCACTAAACCGCATCGCTTATTTCACATTCCATGCGTTGTTAATGACAATGAGATGCCTGCAATAGTTCTAACGTGCGCTGTCGTCTCAGTTTGGCGGCAGTGGGCGGTAATTCGACGGGAACCGGCGGTGCAGGCGATCAGGGAAAGAAAAAAGGCAACGCCGGTGTTGGTGGCGAACACGGCGGCGGTATTGTCGTCTCCGACTTTGCGGGTGCAGGTGCGGGTAACGGTCTCGACGGACTAGACGGCTTCGACGGCGGTCTAGAACGTTGCAGCTTGGAGGAGGTCCGATCCTGGGGTTCCTCCTTCGACAAACTCATGAAGAGCGCCGCTGGTCGCAAACTCTTTAGAGAGTTTCTCGTAAGCGAGTATAGCGAGGAGAACATCGCCTTTTGGCTTGCCTGCGAGCAACTCAAGAGGGAGAGCAATCCCGAGACGATCGAGGAGAAGGCGCGCTATATTTACGAGGATTACATATCCATACTTTCGCCAAAGGAAGTGAGTAAACTCTCCATTTGCTATCGCATAAAACTCTTATTTAATTCGTTATGAAGTATCCTTAACGTAACTTAATCGAAGCGCTCAGAAGCC